CCATGCAATTGTGACCCTTGCTTGCATCTACCCATGATTCACAATTATGATACTCCTATGTGTATTTGCATGCTTGGTGGAGATCCTTGTTGCTATTTCCATGTTTACCATGCGCCACTTGCTATTGTTGATTCTTGTGTTGGGAGAGTCATATTGTTCAATTGCTATTTACATAGGACTTCTTGCCAATACATTGATGATATTTTGCTCATGTCTTCCTTTCATGCTTGTGCTATGTCATGTGAAGTATTCATGCACACTATTTGCACCCATGACATGCTTGCCATGATCCCTTCTAGTACGTTGCATCTTCGTACTACTAGCTTGCTTGACTTGATCACTATGATTGCTTGCTTTGTCGCATCACCCATGTTCCACTATTACTCGCTTTCTTGGGTTGATGACATATATGTTCATGCCTCTCACATGATACATCTTGTTCATTATCACTTGCCTCCAATAGTTGCATCTGATCTTGGAGACTTGGACATATTACTTGTGAAGCTTGCTTGTTTCATAGAGCCTAATGTCTTTGGTTGTAGTCGCATCATATGCTTTCAGACGATGCCACACCTTGTCCTTTCTTATGTCAAGAATGATGAGAACACTTGTTGGGTATCTCACCACACGAATGATAGGTTTTGCTTCCATGCTAACCTCATTTGTTTTTCCGAGTGTTTGTCATGTTCTTTCATTTTGAAGGAATCACAAGGAACCGCTATCACGAGACATATTGGTTATGTGAAGGCGTACATGATGTGCAACTCCAACATCTTTGGGAACATTCACAAGGTGAACTCCTTCCCTTTGAGCCATCCTCACATACGCATATTGGATGGGTCATTCTTTCATTGTTGTTTCCTTCTTATTGTCTACATGATACACATATTGGAGGGAGGACCGACATTGGAGATGGACCCTATGGACCTTCAAGTTGAGGAGTGCCACAACATCGAGTTTTGGTACAACACCACACATAACAAATTGCATCTTATGCATGGATTGACTCACATTATGATTGCCTTGTTGCATCTTGTATTCCCATGCCATCCATGATATATGAGCTTGTGCACTTCCTTAGAAAATTTGTTGTGATCTTTTTGATGGCATATTCATACATCATGATCATATTGCATACCATCAATTGCATGATAACTTATTCATACTGAGCATCCATTGCCATATTCATGCTATTGATAAACCGTCTCACTATGACATCATTTTGCACTGTGGTCGCATTGATCATATTCACAACACATTTGTGTGCACAACGAATGCTTTTGCTCCCATGAACGCTTTGCATATCATTCTATATAAGCTTCATGCGCTTTGTCACAAACAATCTTGCCGCACGGACTCATTCTTACATGATGGACACTTTGTGTGTGCTAACCTTTGTATTTCCGAGTGTTGTTTGTGTTTGCTCTTTTTGCATGTATACGACTCCGGCGACACCTTGGAGTACTTGGATTGCGCAACGTCTTCAACTCCGTCCAACTACAAGTCCGTCCACAACAACCGTTCCCATGGTGATGAGGATCACGATCTGAGGTCGGATCTTTCCCAAGGGGGAGGGAGATGATGCGGAGTATCCTACGATCATCCCCATGTACACTTCGACTACTCCCCAAGCCCCAAGAGGACATACGATAAGACCTCGACCATATGCCATTGGACACAAGGTGAACTCACTCCTCTTCGATCCATCACTTTTCACATATGAGACATGGCTACTACGTCATGCATGGACCTTGTGTATACTCAGGCTCATACGAGATGACCATGGAGATTCAAAGGACCAAGGCCAAGCATGGAAGAGAAGACGGAAGAAAGGAGAAGAAGAAGACGGGGCGGCCGCTGGAGCCAGGCCAGACATCCGGACCGCCGTCCAGATCATCCAGGCTCAGCCGGATCATCCGGACCCACCCCCGGATCATCCGGACAATTGCGTCTGAAGACACCCGAACCTTGCAGAAATCCCCTCGACGGAGCCGGATCATCCGGACGAGGTCCCGGATCATCCGGACCCCGCCTGCGCGCGTGACTTGGGCCGAAGCCCGTGTACCCCTTCGCCCCTCACTTACCCCTCCGTGGCTTAGCACTATATATAGACCCCCTCCTCCTCCTAGTGAGGGTTAGCAAAGTAGTAGCTCATTAGAGATAGAGCTTTGCTCATCCATACAGATCTACTCCGCGAGAGAGACCGCGCGCCTCTACGGAGAAGATCCATCTTGGATTCAAGACCTCCTCACTGGTGGCCCCCATCAAGACCTCCTCACGGAGAAGAACCGGTTACCTATGTATCGTCCTTTGTTGGATTTGGATCGTGTATCTCTTTGTGTTTCAAGGATCTAGCACATGTGTGATTGTTTCTTGTTGATTTGAGTGATTCCTCTCTTTCCCCTCATGTTCTTCGTGTTCTTCGTGGGATGCCCTCCATTTCGTGAAAGATCGGGCCCCTAGGGTTCTACCCTACATCAGATGCATTACTCGTTGGTTGTTACATCGAAGAGCCAGACAGGAGGTCCTCTGTTCAATTCTCACAATGTTGATTTATTTTGAACCAATTATATTTTGCGGTCTCTATGGAAGCCCATAGAAGGACCATCAAACATTAGCGTGCGCTCAAACCAAACGAATTCCACGAGAAGGACTAATAACTCGTTGGTTGTTACATCGAAGAGCCAGATAGGAGGTCCTCTATTCAATTCCTACAATATTGATTTATTTTGACACAATTATATTTCGCGATCTCTATGAAAGCCCATATATAGAAGGCCCATCAAACATTAGCGTGCGCTTAAACCAAATGGCACATAGAAGGCCCATCAAACATTAGTGTGCGCTCAAACCAAACGGCCCATAGAAGGCCCAACAAACATTAGCTTGCGCTCAAACCAAATGAATTCAACGAAAAGGACTAAATCAAACTAAGAATACCTATTCTCTTTAATAGTAGGTATAGATATAGATATAGATTAATAAATTGAAAAGATTTGAAATCGTGGCATGGGTTTCTTCCTTTTCTCTTTCTTTAGAATTTTCTATATGCATAATTTGTCTATGTTTGATGCCTCGCTTATGCACCAAGAAAGATCTTATATACTACTCCCTCCGTTCCAAATTACTCGTCGCAGAAATAGATGTATCTACAACTAAAATACATCTAGATATATCTATACCTACGACAAGTAATTCGGAACGAAGGAAGTAGAAAATATCGGTTATGCACCAACAACGACCCCTTCTGTTTACTTTTATCTTCTCATACCTATGTCCGTTGATGGTTTGAATGCCAACAGAGGCGAGGATGCACGCGGCAGGCAATCCCAAGTTCGCAACTCACCACGCTGAATCTGTATATGACGCTTCGTGTTTGTGGCCACAGAGATGGAAGAGCATGCCTCAAAACTGCAATCCCTCTTCTCTGGGTCAGCAATTACCTGGATGCATGGCCTGTTCAGCAATTTTGAGATATATTCAGTCGAGCTAACTGTACTGGACTACTGGAGAACTCATGCGCCGTCCAGAAGACCACAGATATATTGCCGCATCGGAGCGGTGTACTGAAGTGAATACTGATCTGATCAACGTTGGAAAAAACAAAGGAAAACAACGAAGTGACGACTGGTTATCGAATGAGATCGTATACCACCTTGTGATCGGATCTTACGGTTGCATCTGCAGGAAACGGAGAGTGTTCAGTATAAATGTGGATTGTCCTTGACAAATATTTCCTCCGTTCTCAAATGTAAGTTCTTTTAGAAGTTTTAATTTGGATTACACACGTATTTTTGAGTGTAGGTTCGCTCATTTTGCTCCGTATGTGATCCATATTAGAATATCTAAAAAGACTTATATTTTGAAAGGGAGGAAGTATTTCATAAAGCTGCTGGAGCTAAAAACAGATCAATGTATTTCCGCGAAACAATGCATGGTTATCGCAGAAAGAAAACCCGGTTTTACAATATCTCAGGTGCCTGAAAATTTCCTTTGCGCCAGTCACTTTTCCTCATGTGCCTGAAAATTTCCTTTGCGCCAGTCACTTTTCCTGATTCATTCCGAGCTCGCCGAAGATGGGATCTCGTTGGAGAAGAGGCAACCCCGCTATGCATCTTAGGGGGGAGGGTGTAGGGATCGCCAAAATTCTTCACCAATGTGGTGGGGCTTAGAGGGATGGTCGGGGCGATGGGGGAAGGTTAAAGGGAGGGCGGGGTGGCGATAGCCGCCGGCCGCGTGACACAGAGGCAGACGGTTAGGGCTGAGTCGGAGGGGGGCTGCAGGATCAAGGAAGAAGATGAACAGTGACGGTTAGAGGAGGAAGAAGAAGACCAAGATGTTCATCCATGATCTGATGGCTGGGAGTAAAAGTGACCGATGCAAAAGAAATTTCAGGCACCTGAGGGATAGATGGTCGAAAAACAGAACAATGCATTGTTATTAAGGAGTTGTTCGGCAGTCCTCCAGCTCCCTGAAATCTGAGAATCTGTGGAGCTTCCTTTTCCCCGCTTCATCATTTTTAGCTACAACTCCACCAACTCCTGAAGTGGATTTGAGGAGCGGGAGAGTCTCCGAACATGTCCTAATACTAGATCATTTTGTTCTCATGATGCTCCAATTTTGCAGGGCAGTTAGAAGAAATCAAAAGTATCAGGAAACTGCATTTGATTTGGGTTTCCAAAAAAAAAAAGGAAACGCCCACGCATTTTTGAAAGGTGGGTTGGCGGATTGCGTGGCGGCCAGCGTGTTCGCGCCTCTTCCACACCTTCCCCCCTCCCGCCTCCTCCTACCTACCCTCTTCTCCTCCCGCCCATACCTCCGCTCGTCGCCACTGTATTTATTCGCGGAAAGCAGCCATTGCCCTGTGTAGTCTGTACCTAATCAAGCTCCTCCACCCTCGCTGCGTATACGAACTCGCGAGCCGTTGTTTGTCTAGTGCAGGCAGGCTCTGCTCCTTGGCCATTCCGGGAAGCTCTCCGTCTCTCGTATAACAGAGGATCATGATCAAGGTCGCGGCGCCGGAGGTGCAGCAGCCGCAGGCCGTCGCCGCAGCCGAGGCGGTCTCGGCGGTGGTGCCGGAGGCGACCATCTTCCGGTCCAAGCTTCCGGACATCGACATCCCCAGCCACCTGCCCCTGCACGAGTACTGCTTCGCCAGGGCGGCCGAGCTCCCGGACGCGCCGTGCCTCATCGCCGCGGCCACGGGGAGGACCTACACGTTCGCGGAGACGCATGCGCTCTGCCGCAAGGCCGCCGCGGCGCTGCACCGGCTCGGCGTCGGCCACGGGGACCGCGTCATGATCCTGCTCCAGAACTGCGTGGAGTTCGCCGTCGCCTTCTTCGGCGCGTCCTTCCTCGGCGCCGTCAGCACGGCGGCCAACCCGTTCTGCACCCCGCAGGAGATCCACAAGCAGCTCGTCGCCTCCGGCGCCAAGATGATCGTCACCCAGTCCGCCTACGTCGACAAGCTCCGGCACGAGAGCTTCCCGAGAATCAGCACAAGCGGCGGCGACGACACGCTCACCGTGATCACCGTCGACGACGAGGCGGCCACCCCGGACGGATGCCTGCCCTTCTGGGGGGTCGTCGGGTCCGCCGACGAGGGCTCGGTCCCGGAGGTGTCCATCTCGCCGGACGACGCCGTGGCGCTGCCCTACTCGTCGGGCACGACGGGGCTGCCCAAGGGCGTGGTGCTGACGCACGGGGGCCTGGTGTCGAGCGTGGCGCAGCAGGTGGACGGCGAGAACCCGAACCTGTACATGCGGGAGGGGGACGTGGCGCTCTGCGTGCTGCCGCTGTTCCACATCTTCTCGCTCAACTCGGTGCTGCTGTGCGCGGTGCGCGCCGGCGCGGCCGTGATGCTGATGCCCAAGTTCGAGATGGGCGCCATGCTGGCGGGCATCGAGCGGTGGCGCGTGACGGTGGCCGCCGTGGTGCCGCCGCTGGTGCTGGCGCTGGCCAAGAACCCCGTGGTGGAGCAGCACGACCTGAGCTCCATCCGGATCGTGCTCTCCGGCGCCGCACCGCTCGGCAAGGAGCTCCAGGACGCGCTCCGTGGCCGCCTCCCGCAGGCCATCTTCGGACAGGTGCGTGTGTACATATCTGCCGCCCGCGTGATCCGCTGTTTTTCACTCCAGCATTAGAACATACTCTAGGAACTTGAATTAGCATGAATTACGAGTTTGCATTGTAGACGATCTTGAATTACTCCAGCTTCTTCTTTTTGGCGGGAAGTCTTGAATTATCTTTTTATTTGCGACGAAAATCTTGAGCTAGCTTGAGATAGAGCATAGGAACATCTCACCACACTTCAACTGAATCTAACTGAAGCGCATTTGATGAGGACGGTCAGTTGTTCCATCTTGACTGCAAAATTTGGCACAGATTATTCACTCCATGCCGCTGTGCAACATGCCCACAACCCACGGCACGCTCGGCCATCAGTTATGTGATCTGTATTCATTCAGTACTGCTCGAACATCGCTAGCAACGGTGAGGGCGTTCCTGAACAAGTAACCAAAAATGGCAGCTGCACGGGCTGTCGTCTTGCAGCCGTAGAGCGACGTGTACTAGCCCGTCCACCAGGGCCATTCTGCTCGTATATGTGCCAACGCAACGCCACACGCTCCACCAAACTAGCGCGTATACGTGCAACGCCACTGCCCGCTCCTTCCACGGAGGCGTGCAACGCGTGTGCGAGGCATGCACATGCAGCAGCTTCAGGCTCCACGTACGCACGCACCAAGCGTACGTACGTACGTACATATAGATACTCAGCTAATCTACGTCGGATGAGTATAGAAGCTGCGTGCCGTGTTGGGAAAATGGCACTGCCGTACGGTTCACACAATCACACGTCGCGTCGATGAGACGTTGGTTGCTCAACTAATCCATGTGAGCCGCTCGCCGCTCGCCGCACCTACCTGGATGGTCCCGGCGCGTGCGTCGCGTGGTGGCGCGCGTCCCACCGTACCGGCCAGGTGGCCACGGGCGCGAAGCTGACACGTGAGGTTGTCGCTGTGCGCGCAGGGGTACGGGATGACGGAGGCCGGGCCGGTGCTGTCCATGTGCCCGGCGTTCGCGAGGGAGCCGACGCCGGCCAAGTCCGGGTCGTGCGGCACGGTGGTGCGCAACGCGGAGCTCAAGGTGGTCGACCCCGACACGGGCCTCTCCCTCGGCCGCAACCTCCCCGGCGAGATCTGCATCCGCGGCCCGCAGATCATGAAAGGCTACCTGAATGACCCCGTGGCCACCGCCGCGACGATCGACGTCGAGGGGTGGCTGCACACCGGCGACGTCGGCTACGTCGACGACGACGACGAGGTCTTCATCGTCGACCGCGTCAAGGAGCTCATCAAGTTCAAGGGCTTCCAGGTAAACAAACACGACATCTCTGAAGACGTGCACGGCACCACTTTCTACAGTATGACTTAACTAACACTGTGATGATACCCCGTACGTGCAGGTGCCGCCGGCCGAGCTGGAGGCTCTGCTCATCGCGCATCCCTCCATCGCCGACGCCGCCGTCGTCCCGTAAGACAACTATCATCTCAGTAATGTCTTCAAGTACATCACTTGTTCAGCTTCAAGAACAAGATCGAACTGGCCTGGGTAATAAACTGGGTGCGTGTAAATGAATGGATGGCAGGCAAAAGGATGACGCCGCCGGCGAGGTCCCGGTCGCGTTCGTGGTGCGCGCCGCCGACTCCGACATCGCCGAGGAGGCCATCAAGGAGTTCGTATCCAAGCAGGTAGTCACACACGAGAGCAGCTACAGAACCTTGGTCGCTGAATCGATCGGCCATCTCTGACCACGGTTAGTTTGCCAATTTTCAGGTGGTGTTTTACAAGAGGCTGCACAAGGTGTACTTCACCCATGCGATCCCCAAGTCAGCGTCAGGGAAGATACTGAGGAAAGAGCTCAGAGCCAAGCTCGTCTCCCCCGTCACTGCCTGAACAACTACTATTACTACATCCAAGACGTCATTTTTGGACGGACGGCAATTCCAAGATATACATGTTTCGCCTTCTTTGTCATTTGGAAGATTGTAGTACCACGCGGAGTGTATCGCCTGTGGCTGTTAGTGAGGCATGGAGGAGGAAAGTTTTGTCTGTCCATACCATGTTTTTGTACGCTACTCTCTCCATTGAGGAGCACCACTACCACACATGTACTGGGTTCATCATGATGTTAATCAGGATTGGTTCATTTCGACCTCAACTTGTTTTGGCCAAAGCTTAAGCAATCGCCTGAGTGAGCACAGACAGAAAAGCAAATAGCTACATACGCCTAATTAACGCAAACTGGAAGATGAGAAGTTTGCAGCAACTTATCAACCGAACAAACTGTGGACGACAAAGTATCATCGTATGCAAATAAACAAGCGACCCAATCCCTAACTGAATGTACGTGCAGTGCAGTCTTCTACCGGATGAATACAGACATCGTTCAGCAGTATAAAAAGCAGCAGACATGCTGTGTATCCCTAATGGAACTCCGCAACTTGCTGGGCCGGTATTTAGAAGTTGATTAGGTCATCCTTCTTTGGGTCCTGCCTTTTGGACACGTCCTGGGAACTGCTTCCTCCCTTCTTGCCAAATATCATCTCATCGAGATCATCGAGGATATCATCATCGCCGCCTGACATTGCTCTAGCAGCAGCTGGTTTTCTGACCAGGGCATCCTCATGGCCAACAGTCACGGAATCTTCATGCTCCGTGGCAATTGGTATGACCACTGGCTGTTCTGTACGCGCCGAAGCCATGGGCTTCTTCATCTCTTCGTATTTGGATAGCACTTTCAGGACTTCATCATTCACACTCAAGGCCTCGAAGAGCAAGGCCTCATTGTCCCCAGCCGTCTCGATGAATCTCTGGATAGTATGTTGAGATTGGTAGCATTGTTGCACAAGAGTGGTTGTTAAGTCATCCTGTGGAAGTCGCAGAACCAGTCAAAACACAATAGCAGATAACCTTCACAGTTCATGAATATCACTTTCAACTTCCAGATAACAGAATCAATCATCACTAGCTTCTTGTCAGTTTAAAACCATGTCCAATAAAATGTACTTTAAAGTTTGAAATATTACAATGACAAAGCATGTTAGATTAGTAACTACTTCCATTTGCACAAAATACAAAGAGTGAGTATTTTTAATAATGACTGGTTTTCACTGTTTCTTGCTGTTAATGTCATCAGTATCAGGGAACATCATTCGTGCTCAATAAAGCAGTAACCAACAATAATTAGATTTTCTAAGTGACTGGCAAATAAGCAATCCAGTTTAGGTAGTACTCCCTCCGTTACTAAATCCGTATATAGTCCATATTGAAATCTCTAAAAACACTTATATTTAGAAACAGGAGGAGTATGTTACAGACCCACTCCATCAGGACAACAGAGTAAAATGAGCACCCGTTGTAATAAAATGAGCAAAATACTTGCAACAGATTTTAAGAATAACAATGAACTGCACATGCACATCACCTCATGATTACTAAAGTACACAATCATATCTCATCCAAAATATCATACATTGAGCCAAACCAAGTGACAGTACTAGCCTGATCTATCAGCAGCACAAAACAGCAACAAGTACAGAAAGAAATTGTTAACTGCAAAAGCTGCTTGAGGAAACCGATCTCACACATAGAAACTGTTATCAATAAGCAGACATCTGTGTGTACAGTATAGTACAGTCAAAAGTATCTATACGAGCTTGGGATAAAGTTATACAAAATCCAGTTACCTGCAAAGCATCCTGCTGAGGGGAGGATGAAAGAACAGTTGAAAGAAGTTCCATGCTGTTACGGGCCACATCGAAAGCTTCCTTTGTTTCTTCAGCAGTATATGTATGCACATGTACATCTTCGAATATCTGCTGGGAGAAATTTGCAGCAACTTCAGCTTCAGCAACAGAGCGTGGTGGAGTAAATATGGGGGCCAGGCTCTCATTGTCACGTCCAGGAAACCGAATTCCTCTTGATTTCAGGCTCTGTAAAAAAAATAGATTAGCACAATGTACTTGTAACCACCAAGGCACTAACCATTACCAACGCACTAATCATATGGGTTTATTATATTACCATCAAAATGGACACTGAAACAACTTTTGGATTATGATATTATTTAGCACAACTGAATAAACGGCAAAGCTGCTACCAAATATACTGAGTGATTCACAAGGTGATGAATAAAGCAATGACTGCTAATACTAACCACCAGCTTCTAACCACAGAAGTATGAAATTATTAAAGAGAGGTCTGAGTGGTTCCACGAAGCGATGTACCCCTTTGCTAACGGCTAAAACAACCCTCAGCAGGTTGGTCCTAAATTGGATTCCTTCCTTGCTTACATAATGGGGCAACAGAGATTATCGTGGCTTTATTTTTAAAGCAGGGCGAAAGCCTATTTTGAGGAGATTATCGTGGCTGATTTTTTTATGAACAGGTTGGAAAATTAGCCTCACTGACACGGGACAAAATTAGCAAATCTAAACATAATACACCAATTTGTACTGCTGATTTCTCTAGTGATGGAGGAACGAAATAAAGGGGACATTAATTTTACCTTGTAGGTTTGCTCATAGACCGGCAAGTAGCGGAGCTCATCACCAGATTCTCCCCATGCTTCAATGAGCGTGAGGGCCTTGTTCCTGTTATTGACCACCGTCTGGGGGTCATCAATCAGCCTGACCATCTCATCGAGAATCCTCTCGGCCGCAACCTCGGAGAAGGCCTTCTCGCAGTTCTTGACGATGGTCTCGAGGAGGAAGAGGGCGAGGAACTGAACCCTGGCCTCCTTGAGCATGATCCGCTTCTTGATCCCGCGGATGAGGTCGACGCTGTTCACCTTCTCGGTGTTGATCAGGTCGCAGATTTCGAGGTTGGCGGCCCAGTCGGGCCCCTCGAGGGTCTCGGCGGTGGCGTCCTCGACGATCTTGTCGGCCGGGGTCTGCGCCTGGAAGAGCTCCTTCATCTTGAAGCTCATGGAGCTCATGCCGGCCTGCATCTGCTTGCCCACCTCCGACCCGGTGATCTTGAGGCGCTCGCCGAGGGCGTTCACTTTCTCCATCAGATTGTCGCTCATTTTCGCTGCCAATACGCAAAGAAAAATCGCACGGCACCGTTAGATTAACGCGTCGGCGCGGAAGTTCAATCCGAACGAACGAACGAGCAATTTATTTCTGATCTAATCTAATCTAGTAGAGTTGTTAGTAGACCAGAGGGTCGAAATTGAAAGGGAGGGGGCAACCAACCGCCGGGCCGAAATTGGGGGAAAGCGGAGGATCGATCGAGGGTTTGGGGCCGAGACGATACCTTCCGCGGCGAGAATCGAGGGCGGCGGGGGAGGGGGGAGCCGAATCGAACTGCGGCGAGGGCCTCGCACGCGTGGTGGCGTAGATTTGGCCGGCCGCCCCGCGTGGTTTGTTGGTTGGAGTTCGCCGGTGCCTTCCAGTCGAGGTCTCCTTCGGCTTTTGGGGGGGCTTTTGGTGCCGCTGCCAAGTGCCAAGTGCCAACAACTGTTGTACTTTAGGGAGGAGTCGTCTTTTCCTTCCTTCCACGCGCTCGCACCATATTCTTCTCAGAATAATAAAATAACCCGGGCCACTAAAAAAAAACCGGGTAGGATTAGGCAGACGGCACGCTCTGCAATTTGACCCGTATGTCTTCTGACTTGGTACTGATAAAGCGTTATGGAGTCAGTGGATTTGTTCATGCACGGTAGTACTCCACCCATTGATAATTCGCCCACATCCGTCGCGGATGGCCGGTCCGGCGTCTTTTTTCACGCAAACCGGGGAGAGACATTTTGCTCCTGTCCGGACCGATGCCACGCACACGCTTCGACAATCATGGCCCGTGCAAAACCCTCTTTCTCATTCGCACCATTTTTCATTTGAAGCAGTTGCCCGCATTTATGCCGCTCTAGAGCGGAAACTCCACATTGACGCCGACGGAGAGCAGATGTGATCTTTCATTGATGAAGGCATTGAAACGGCTTGCCGATCGAGAGCGCCGCCCACGCCGCGTCTCCGGTGTCCGCGCATGTTTAATGCCGGAGATGCGTTATTGGACGGGACGGGACGGTATGTACCGCATTCAAACGGGATGCATGTCTGTCTGTCGGCCGCCATTAAACAGACACATAGGCCAAGAAACCAACTCCGACCCTCGCGCATTGACACATTCGAACAATTGGGCTCATCCGACATCCGCTATTTAAAGGTGGTCACTCCTAGCTCAAACCACACCACTTTACGCCCGCTCCACACCCTTCTCTGATGCATCATATCCGACATGACTATGAGCGGGAACGCGTTGTGGGAGAGCCTGTCAGTGAAACAGGAGCTCGAGGTGGCCGCCCTTGCGGCCGCCTGACAGAGCCGTCGTGCCAGGCGGATAGAGGCCGACATGCCCGCCAGCTCCCTAGAGGTCTCCGACGACGACCCCACAATGAAGACGGGCTCCAACGATGACTCGGCGCCGGAGCCCGCGCCAGTCTATGCCGGCTTCACCATGGAGCAAGCGCAAACATACTTTAGCGCCGATGAAAGTGCATGTAGCCCCTAATTGTGGTTTTGATAATTAATGACAATTTTTATGGACTAATATTTTCAGTGAGATATATTTGAAGGTATTGTCCTTAGATGGTGCCTCAAGAATATTGGATGGAATCAAGGATGAAGTCCACATATATGAAGATTTATTTGCTCTAAACTTTGGTATTAAATGACAATTTCTATGGAGCATCAAGTGTTGGAAATATGCCCTAGAGGCAATAATAAAATGGTTATTATCATATTTCCCGTTCATGATAAATGTTTATTATTCATGCTAGAATTGTATTGACCGAAAACTTAAAAATATGTGTGAATGCATAAATTACACCGTGTCCCTAGTAAGCCTCTACTAGACTAGCTCGTTGATCAAAGATGGTCATGGTTTCCTAACCATAGACATGAGTTGTCATTTGATAATGGGATCATATCATTGGGAGAATGATGTGATGGACAGACCCAACCGTAAGCTTAACATCAGATCATTTAATTATTTGCTATAGATTTCTTCATGTTAAGTATCAGTTCCTTCGACCATGAGATCATACTACTCCCGGATATCGGAGGAATACTTTGTGTGTTATCAAACGTCAGTTTGTAACTGGGTGATCATAAAGGTGCTCTACAGGTATCTCCGAAGGTGTCTATTGGTTTGCATGAATCGAGGTTGGGATTTGTCACTTCGTGTGGCTGAGAGATATCTCTGGGCCCTCTCAGTAATACAACATCATAAGAAGCTTCATGTGACTAATGAGTTTAGTCACGGGATCTTGTATTACGGAACGAGTAAAGAGACTTGCCGGCAACAAGATTGAACTAGGTATGGAGATACCGATGATCGAATCCCGGGCAAGTAACATATCGCCACACAAAGGGAATTGCATATGGGATTGACTGAATCCTTGACATCGTGGTTTAACTGATAAAGATCTTCGTTGAATACGTAGGAATCAATATGGGCGTCCAAGTCCCGCTATTGATTATTGATCGAAGAGGATTCTGGGTCACGTCTGCATGTTCTCGAACCCGTAGGGTCGCACGCTTAACGTTCGGTAGCGCTAGGGTAGTGTTGAGATATTAATAGTGAAAAGTCTGAAGGTTGTTCGGAGTCCCGGATGGGATCCGAGACATCAAGAGGAGCTCTGGAATGGTCCAGAGGTAAAGATTCATATATGAAAAGTTGTTATCGAGGTTCTGAAAAAAGTTGATACACTCTTTCACACATAAGCCACCTTATATCTTCCTCAAAACAACCACCATACCTACCTATTATGGCATCTTCATAGCCAATCCAAGATATATTGCCATGCAACTTCCACCGTTCCATGTTATTATGACACATACCATCATTGTCATATTTCTTTGCATGATCATATAGTTGGCATAGTATTTGTGGCTTCTCCACCGTTCATATTTTTTTATACATGTCACGCTAGATCATTGCATATCCCGGTACACCGCCGGAGACATTCACATAGAGTCATATCTTTGTTCTAGTATCGAGTTGTAATTCTTGAGTTGTAAGTAAATAAAAGTGTGATGTTCAACATTATTAGAGCATTGTCCCATGTGAGGAAAGGATGATGGAGACTGTGATTCCCTCACAAGTTGGGATGAGACTCCGGACATAAATAAATAAAAAGAGGCCAAAGAGCCCAAAAGAAAAAAAAGAAAAAAAGGAAAAAAAAGAGGAAAAGAGAGAAGGGACAATGTTACTATCCTTTTCCACACTTGTGCTTCAAAGTAGCATCATGTTCTTCATAATAGAGAGTCTCCTATTTGTCATTTTCATATGTTACTAGTGGGAATTTTTCATTATAGAACTTGGCTTGTATATTCCAATGACAGGCTTCCTCAAAGTGCCCTAGGTCTTCGTGAGCAAGCAAGTTGGATGCACAACCACTTTAGTTTTCTTTTTGAGCTTTCATACACTTATAGCTCTAGTGCATCCGTTGCATGGCAATCCCTACTCCTTGCATTGGCATCAATTGATGGGCATCTCCATAGCCCATTGATTAGCCTCGTCGATGTGAGACTTTCTCTTTTTTTTTGTCTTCTCCACACAACCTTCACCATCATATTCTATTCCACCTATAGTGTTATATCCATGGCTCATGCTCATGTATTGCGTGAGAGTTGAAAAAGCTTGAGAGCGTTAAAAAGTATGAACCAATTGCTTGGCTAACATAGGGGTTGTGCATGATAAATACTTTGTGTTATGAAGATAAAGCATGACAAGACTATATGATTTTCTAGGGATAACTTTCTTTAGCCATGATATTTTGAGAAGACATGATTGATTTATTAGTATGTTTGAAGTATTGTTGTTTTTATGTCAACATTAAACTTTTGTTTTGAATCTTATGGATCTGAATATTCATGCCACAATAAGAAAGATTACATGATAAACATGTTAGGTAGCATTCCACATCAAAAATTCTGTTTTTATCATTTACCTACTTGAGGACGAGCAGGAATTAAGCTTGGGGGTCTTGATATGTCTCCAACATATCTATAATTTTTTATTGGTTCCATGCTACTCCTTCCGTCCCAAAATTCTTGTCTTAAATTTGTCTAGATACGGATGTATCTAACTAGATACATCCGTATTTAGAAAAATCTAAGACAAGAATTTTGGGATGGAGGGAGTATTATATTATCCATCTTGGATGTTTTATATGCATTATTATACTATTTTATATCATCTTTTGGGACTAACCTATTAACCTAGTGCCCAATGCCAGTTGCTGTTTTTCCTTGTTTTTGTCTTTTACAGGAAAATCAATACCAAACGAAGTCCAAACGAAACGAAACTTTTTGACAATTTTTCTTGGACTAGAAGACACCTAGGAAGCATCGGGACGAGGCCAGAAGGGCCACGGATGGGCCACAAGCTCACCAGGCACGCCGTGGGGGGGGCGAGCTTGTGGGCCCACCATGGCACCCGTAACCCTAATCCCAGTTCCAGAAATACCCAAATATTCCCCGTATACCAGGGGGCACACCAAAAAAACTTTTCCGCCACCGCAAGTTTCTGTCCTCGTGAGATCCCATCTGGAGACCTGTTCCGGTACTCCGCCGGAGAGGGATTCAATCACGGAGGGACTCTACATCAACCTTGCTGCCCTTTCGATGATGTGTGGGTAGTTTAGTACAGACCTACGGGTCCATAGCTAGTAGCTAGATGGCTTCTTCTCTCTCTTTGATCTTCAATACAATGTTCTCCTCGATGTTTTTGGAGATCTATTCGATGTAATCTTCTTTTGCGGTGCATTTGTTGAGATCCGATGAATTGTGGATTTATGATCAAATTATGTATGAATATTTTTTGAGTATTCTTTGAACTCTTTTATGCATAATTAAGATATCTTTGTATTTCTCTCTGATCTATTGATTTGGTTTGGCCAACTAGATTGATTTTTCTTGCAATGGGAGAGGTGCTTTGTAATGGGTCCAATCTTGCGGTGTCCTCACCCAGTGACAAAAAGAGTAGCGAGGCACGTATTTGTATTGTTGTCGTTAAGGATAA